TTGACCTAGAGGCAGATCAAACGTGTGACCTTGGCCCTCGATCCATCAGAGTGAGCGTCCGGGCTGTCCAGGCCGAGGCTGGGAGAACTCACCCGTGACTGTCCCCTGGCCAGGGGGGCGGGTCCGTGTCCCATAGCAACCCTCCTCCCTCTCCTCCCGGGTCCGTCGCTCCGGGAGGGACACAGCCCGGCCCATCCCTGGGGACCTAGGGACGGACATGAGAGCTCTGCTAATGACTGAGGCTTATCTGGACCGTCCACACTTTTCTGTTTTACCAGCCGGGCATCCTTCGGGGCCGTGGGGAACGGAGTGGGTCCTCTTTCCTGCGGCTGTTTCCCAGCCACGTGTGGATTCTGGCCCCTTTGTTCACTGCTGGAGCCCCTTCTCTGGCCCTGCCGTGGGGAGTGGCCCCAGGTTTGCAGCCAGAGGGCTGTTTTGTTTTGTTTTATTGATTTCAGAGAGGAAGGGAGAGGGAGAGAGTGATAGTGATAGAAACATCAATGGTGAGAGAGAATCATTCATCGGCTGCCTCTTGCACGCCCCCTACTGGGAATCAAGCTCACCACCCAGGCAAGTGCCCTGACCAGGAATCGACCTGTGACCTCCCAGCTCATGGGTCAATGCTCAACCACTGAGCCACTCCAGCCGGGCTGGACGGCTCTTTCTAAAACGCAAATCAGACCCAAAGCAGAGAGGCTGGCTCCTTCGGTGAGTCCCCAGGCCTCAGGTTCAAGGCCCTTCCCTGGCCAGCTCCCAGCCCCTGAGCCTCTCCCAGCAGCCCCGAAGGACTGCTCCCTGCTGTCCTATCGCCCTTAGCAACAGGACCTGACCTTGGCCTGACCGATGCCACAGGCTGCACCCTCTCAGGGTGCCCGGTGGGGAGTGAGGCGGACACACGGGGCCAGAGGGAGGGCGTGGCCACCTTCTGCCCAGCAAAGCGCTGGCTGGGGTTGACCAAGGTCAGGATGGGGGTGGGGGTTGGGCACAGGGACCTCTGTTAGCACCCGCGGCTGGAGAATTCTAGAGGGATCTCCCAGCACCCCTGCTTTTCGGGGCAGCTCCTGTGTGTGTGAAGGGAGAGGAGCCGAGGATGACTGGGGAGACCTGCAGCTGGTGTTGGATGCGGGGCTCATCGTGATGGTGATTGAAATTGACACCACTGCCAAAACCGGTTTGGCTCAGTGGATTCAGAGCATCAGCCTGCGGACTGAAAGGTCCCGGGTTCGATTCCGGTCAAGGGCATGTACCTTGGTTGCGGGCACATCCCCAGTGGGGGTTGTGCAAGAGGCAGCTGATCAATGATTCTCTCTCATCGATGTTTCTGACTCTCTATCCCTCTCTCTTCCTCTCTGTAAAAAATCAATAAAATATATTAAAAAAAAAAAAAAAAAGAAAAAGAAAAAGAAAGAATTTGACACCATTGTGTGCCTCGCGAGTCACACGGCCACTCAGCAGCCGCCAGCTCCTTCATTCATCAATGCGAACACGGGGCTGGGGCAGCTCCCGGGCACCCAGGGCAATGCCAGGCAGTGGGCGCCGGCTCACCTGGGAGCCTGAGGTGGCCCTATAAATGGGGGGAGGGACACAGCCCCCCTGGTGTGAGCGAGGCAGAGGCCTGCGGGTGGGAGACCAGGTCAGGCTCCCGGTGGACACCCGTCGGCTGAGGGGCCTCGGCAGACACCCAGCTTCTCTCTATCTCCGTTTGCTGATCTGTAGGAGGAGCCAGGGCTTCCGGAACTGAACGTCTAAGTGGAAGATGAATTTGTTTCCCGGCGCTGCCCACACGGTGGTGGTGCAAAACCACAGGCATCGATTGGCTCGCAGTTCTGCAGGCCTGCAGCCCGGGGTCAGGGTGTGGGTGGGGCTGGTTCCTTCTGGAACCTCTGAGAGAGCAGCGGGCCAGGCCGCCCTCCTGGCTTCCCGCTGGCCGGCCCTCCTCGGCTCCGCAGGCACCGGCTGGCTGTCCCCTCCCATGGCCACCGGCTTCTCCTCTGGTCTCTGCGGCCGTCTCACCGCTCCCTCCGGCCCTTCTGTCCGGGACCCGCCCTCCTCCCAGGTGAGCTCACCTCAGATCCTCACCTGCGTCTGCACAGACCGATTGCCAAATAAGGCCACAGGCAGACCGCGTGGGGAGTGGACTCTCTCTCTTTTTTGGAGAGGGGGAGGTGGGGGGGGGTGAGAACAATTCAACCCACAACAGGAGGCTCTGCAGAAGCGAAGCCCAGATGCCAGGCGCGGTCATTCTTAGGGTGCAGCCTCCGGAGGAGGCCATCCCTCCGCGCGGCTTCCTCCCCACGCCTGGCCAGGCCGGTGTGTGTGTGTGTATGTCTCCCCACACTGGCCGGGCACGGGGGGGGGGGGGTGCGGGGGGTGTCTCCCCACACCTGGCTTGGCACAGGGGGCGGGGGTCTCCCCACACCTGGCCGGGCACAGGGGCGGGGGTCTTCCCACACCTGCCAGACACAGTGGGCGGGGGTCTCCCCACCCCAGGCCGGGCACGGGGCAGGGATTGGGGGGCGCGTGGAGGTGAGATCTTGACCAGAAGTGGAGAGGGTGCTGGGAGAGGCCCCCTCAGCGCCAGGGTGAGGGCTCCGGTCAGCAGCAGGCTGGGGGGGCTCCAGCTGCGTCTCCAGGCTCCATGATTAGCTGCTACCCCCTGAGGACCCCGCTGCCTCTGCCTCTCCCCACAGGCCTTCCCCAGGGCTGAGGCTCCTCGCCCAGCTTTTCCCAGTCCCTCCCAGCCCTCCCAGTCCTCGGAGGCCCGCCCGGCCCAGGTCCTGCTCACTCCTCCCGTCTCGTCCCCATCATGGCCTCGCTCTGAACCCTGTCTGTGCGCTCAGCCTGCCGTGCTGCTTCACGGCCCAGTGCCTGGGAGAGCGGCCCCTGTTCTGGAATGTTCTCCCCCATTGTCACCAGACTCTGCCCTGAGAGCCCTGCCTGCCACCCCTCTCTGCCCCCGCTGGGTGCCCCCCTACCAGGATCACACTGTCACCATCACCCCCGGGTATAGTTGTGCTGTGGAGTGTGCCCCCACTTGGAGGTCCCTGAGGGGCAGGGACACAGTCCTTTGTTTGGGGGTCCCCGGTCCCAGTATAAAGAGGCTCCTCGAAGGTTTATAGAAGGAAATCATCATGAGACGTGGATTTTGCCCGGCCGGTGTGGCTCAGGGGTTGTGTGTTGACCTATGAACCAGGAGGTCACAGTTCAATTCCCGGTCAGGGGCACATGCCCGGGCTGTGGGCTCCATCCCAGTTCAGGAGGCAGCCAATCCCTGATTCTCTCTCATCATGGATGTTTCTCTCTCTCTCCCTCTCCCTTCCTTCCTCTCTGACATCAGTAAAAATATACATAATTTTAAAGAGGTGTGATTTGGCCGAAACCGGTTTGGCTCAGTGGATAGAGCGTTGGCCTGCAGACTGAAAGGTCCCCGGTTCAATTCCTGTCAAAGGCATGTACCTTGGTTGCGGGCACATCCCCAGTAGGGGGTATGCAAGAGGCAGCTGATCGATGATTCTCTCTCATGGACGTTTCTAGCTCTCTCTCTCTCTCTCCCTTCCTCTCTGTAAAAAATCAATAAAATATATATTTTTAAAATAAAAATAAAATAAAGAGATGTGATTGGAATCCATTATTGCCACCTCCCAACCATGTGCCCTTGGCTTTGCCGGGCCTCCATGTCCTCCTCTTCCTGCCTGCCTCCCCCGCCAGGCGGGTGCGGGCCTCAGAGCAGCCTGCCTTGACGGATGAGCGTCTTCTCGGACTCATTAGGCCACACGGTTAGGGCATCTCTCCGGGGACCCCACCCACGGCCCCAGCTCTGCCCTCTGCCTTCCTGGGAGCGTGGCTGCAGGGAGGCCCAGGATTCCGGAACCCCTGGCTCCCCTCCCTAACCCTGCCCCTGCCGGCTCGCCTGGCTTCTGGGGGCACCTCTCCAGCCCTCGTCCTGTGGGATCCCCGGTTCCAAAGCACAACAAACCAGCAGCACGGCCCGGCCCGGCCCGGGAGCCGGGAGCCAGAGCCAGCAGGCTCCTTCTTGTCGGCCCCGCTGCGGGCCTGCAGGGGCCGCCCCTCTGCCTGCGGGCGGGCGGGCGGGCGGGCGCGAAGGAGGGCATTTGGGTTCTGTGGGCATGGGCGCCCACGTGACTCCAACACCGGCTCCAGCCAGAGGGCAGGCCAAGGAGGGGGCCCGCGCTGGGGGAGGGGGGAGGGGCGGGGATGAGGGGAGGCCTGCCCCACGGAAGCCCCACAAAGCTCCTTTGAAAGCAAGTTCAGATGTCCCCAGGCCAGGCAGGGGCAGGGGAGGGGGGTAGTAATAATAAAACAACATTTGCATGGAGATTTCGGGCACAAAGCACTTTCTCAGGGGCGGGAGGCGCTGGGGTGGCCCAGGCGGGGAGGCCTGAGGAGCTGGGATCGGTCCCACCCCCGGCCCAGCGTGCGGCAGCTCGGCAGACAAAGGGCCATTCATCCAACTCTTTCCGATCCCCGAGTTTCGCCTCCCGCTCTCCCGGGAAGAGCTCACTGGGGCCGGAGAAGGGGTGTCAGGAATCCCGGAAGGAGGGGTTGGCCAGCGCCCGAGGGGAGGGAGGGGAAGGCAGGGGGGGCTCCGTCCCCCGGCGCCCCCGCCCCGCCCCGCCCCCACACCCTCTGGCTCCCCAGCGCCTGCCACCAGGAGCAGCCTGGCTGGGCTGGTTCGTGCAGCTCCCCTCGCGAACCTGGGCCGTGTGTTCGCGTTGGAAGTCTGGGCGCGGGTTCGGGAACGTGGGCGCGCAGGCTGTGTGTGGGTTTGGGAACAGGCACATATGTGGGTGCGGGGCTCTGAGGTCCCTCCCCAGCTCACACCGGGTGGGGGTGAGGGTGCTGGGGCGGCTGCACCTGCAGGGGGCGGAGTGGGACACAGCTGGGCCGCTCCTGCACAGCTGGGCCTGTGGGGAGCCTGGCAGCAGCCACCTGGCCCCGGGGTCGGACCCTGGCTCTTTAAGGGCCCCGGAGCGTTATAGGGCCCACCTGCAGGGCCCGGCAGTTACCAGCAGCCCCCGCGGGAGATGGAGGATGGAGGAGGTCATTGCGGGGCTGGAGCGGTTCACCTTCACCTTGGAGGAGGATGTAGAGATGCAAAGGGGCATTGAGCCCCTGCCTTTCCTGGGCATGGACAGTGAGTGAGGAGGGCGCCAGCCATCCCGCCCACGCTTACCCCCGCCGCTCTGCAGGCCTCTGCTGGGCAGCTCCCTGCTCTGCTGCCCACCAGGGGGCTGAGCTGGGGGTCCCTCAGCCTGGATTCCCTGGTGTAGCCCCTCTCTTCCCAGGGGCTCGCCCCCCCCTACATCCTGCCTGGGGCTCCCCAGAAAATAGGGCTGGCTCCCCAGCTCCCAGGCCGGCCTCAGGCCCCTCGGTGGCCTTGCTTGCAGACCGAGGGGCTCAGGTGTTGGGTGTGGAGGCTGGTGCTAGGGCCCAGCATCCGAAGGCAGGACTCAGGGAGCCTTTGGGGAGGAGGGGAAGCTGCTGACCGAGGCAGGGCCCTCGGGAAAGCTGCCGCCTGTTTCCTTCTCCCCTCCCAGAGTCCAGCTCGGCGGTGTGCACCTTCTACGCCAGGGGGCTCTGCGAGAAAGGTGGGTGGCAGGTGGGCGCGCGTCTAGGCCGCCCCGGGCCTGCGTGGCCTCGAATTGGGTGTTGCATTCGCACCTGGGGAGGGGCTGTGGGGATGGGGTAGAGTAGGGGTGTCAAACTCAATCAGAGAAGGGGCCAAAATCTAAAATCCAGCCTAAATCGCGGGCCGAATGGTTTACTGAACAGTTATAAACTGTCATTGTGATGGAAACGCAGCGGAGTGCAGTGATGACAGCGCGGTGCGCGCCACATTGCAAGGCCTGGCGGGACGGATTTGGCCCGAGGGCCTTGTGTTTGACACATATGGGGTAGAGTGTTTTGTTTTTAATCCTCACCCGATGTTATTTTTTTCCATTGATTCTTTTCTTTTTGAGAGTAGAAGGGAGAGAGAAAGGGGAGGAGAGAGGGGGAGAGAAGAGAGCGAGAGTGAGAGAAACAGTTATGGGAGAGACACATTAACTGGTTGCCTCCTGCCCACGCTTGTTCTCCGATGGTGAGGGGCCCCCGCCCAGCCGTTCCCTCCGGAGGCAGGAGAACGGACCCCCTCAGACATGTGGGAACCGGGGTGTCCCTCCTGCAGATGGCAGCAGCGAGCTGATGAAGGCGATAGAGTTAGCTCTCACCTGGTTTCCTTCTGAGCCCTGTCAGAGCCGGCTCTGAGCCACCTCGCTCACAGCCACGCTAGGCCACTGGCATCAGGAAGCACCATTTTTTTTTTTATAAAGACGTGGGTCCAATAGGCCCTTAGTGAGCACATGCTCTGACGGGGACGGTGCTGTGGAGGGCAGGGGCCAGGCCCCGGGAATCATGCCTCTGCTCGCTGGTGGGAGCCCCACGAAGCCTGGAGGAGGGGGGGTGTCAGGTGCCAGGGGGGTGTCCCGACAGGCTGGGGGCTTCCTGGGGTTTGACGGGCACCATGCCAGGCAGAGAGGAAAGTCCGGGCAAAGGTGAGGACACAGCCATCTCTTCAGACCATAAGCAGGTCTCCCTGTTGCCTCTGGTTCTAGCCACCACCAGGGTGCAGGGGAGGGGGTTGGAGGGGGCTGAGGGGGCCTGGGCTGGGGGCGGGTGGGGGCTCCCAGCCGAGCGCTCTGGTCCCCAGCGCGGCTGTGCCCGTTCCGGCACGACCACGGGGAGAAGACGGTGGTGTGCAAGCACTGGCTGCGCGGGCTGTGCAAGAAGGGCGACCAGTGCCGGTTCCTGCACCAGTACGACCTCTCCCGGATGCCCGAGTGCTACTTCTTCTCCAAGTTCGGTAATGCCCGCCTGGCTCCCGCCCGCTTCCCGCAGCTGTGGGACAGGATGCTGGGGAGGGACCCCCAAAGGAGGCCTCACTGTCTGGGGGGGGGGGGGGCAGGTCAGGCCTCTCCGAGGCCCTAGAGCAGTGGTCGGCAAACTCATTAGTCAAAAAGCCAACTATATCAACATTTGTACAGCAGTTGAAATTTCTTTTGAGAGCCATTTTTTTTTAATTTTTCAAAAATATATTTTATTGATTTTTTACAGAGAGGAAGGGAAAGGGACAGAAACATCAAGGAGAGAGAAACATTGATCTACTAGGGATGTGCCCGCAACCAAGGTACATGCCCTTGACCGGAATCGAACCCGGGACCTCTCAGTCCTCAGGCCGAGGCTCTATCCACTGAGCCAAACAGGTTTTGGCTTGAGAGAGAGCCAATTTTTTTTTTTTTTTAAACTTCTTCTAACTCCACCTCTTCAAAATAGACTCGCCCAGGCCGTGGTATTCTGTGGAAGAGCCATACTCAAGGGGCCAAAGAGCCGCCTGTGGGTCGCGAGCCGCGGTTTGCCTACCACAGGCCTAGAAACAGTGGAACTGCACTCTGGCCCTGGTTTATCTGGCCCTGCCAGGCTTGGGCACCTGCTGCCCACCCAAGGGAAGGAGGGTGCGGCTGGATCAGAGGCGGAGCCGTTCCCCTCCGCAGTCTTGGTAAAGTCTCACCCAGGCTCACTGTCTGGAAACAGCCCATCTCTGGGCCCGGGGTCGGGAAGGGGGGCCAGGCCAGTGGTTCCCCGGCAGCAGGCGCGTGGGGGCCGCGTCCCCGGGCTCGCCACTCTCACCGAGCGCTTGTCCTTTGACCGGCACCATCCTATAATTTTCCAACTGCTTCTCTATTTTAAACTCTCACTCTGGAAGAAAGCTTGGTATTCTTCCATAAATGGAAAGCTAGCATCACTCGTTGGCAATAGAAGGCAACTGTAAACAAACAGCCCTGGGGCTCAGGAGTCACAGCCCCTAAAATTGTCTTGTGTGGTCCGGTCTGGGCCTCACCGCCTCCTGTTTGTCCACCCAGGGGCTGCGGGGCAGGGAGCCACGGCCGCTTCCCCCTGCCTTGTTTAGGCATGGACTCTAGGAGAATTTCCTTCTCCCTCGGATTCTACGGCTCAGTGCTTTCCAGAACAGAAGGAGCCTTAGGGATGATCTAGTCCAGTGGTGTGGAAAGTGTGTTCTGAGAAGAGTGACCGGAGGGGAGAGGGCTGGGACAGCCTCCAGGGGTGTGTCTGGCGGTGGCCGTGGCTTTGAAACCGAGCCAGCATTGGGGGCAGGTGGGGAGGTCCTGGCGAGAGGTCCTCCCAGGCCCAATCCGTTTCCTACCTGGCCCTCGGAGTTGAGAGCTGTGGCCCGTGTGCCTTCAAGGACAGGACAAAGTTTATCTGGGGCCTGGCTCCGCTCGGTCATCGCATGGACCTCTTTCCTTTTGAAGTGCCGCTATTGGCTTCTTTCAATAGCCCTGATTTTCCTTTGGGGATGTGGTGCTGGACGTGGGTACAGGAATAGGCCCAGGTCCCCTTCTGCCCTCAGTCCCCATTGTGAGGGGCAGGCAGGCATGTAAATTGGTGATTGCAATACTACATAAGGTACGTTTTTGCTCTCAGAGTAAATGAACGAATATCTCTTTCTCGTCGCATGCCAAAGTAATTACCGTTCTTGTTGGAAGTAAGTCGTTTTATTTTTAAAGGGATTGTTGGGGCGCGTAGGAGTGGGGAGGGGTGAGGAAATCCTGGTTTTTGGACCCTGTTCCTGGCTGTGCCCATCAAAAAGGTACCTGCTGCCTCTGGAGGGTGAGGTGCGGGCGCCACCTGCTGGCCATAGAGGAATGCAGCGTCGTGAATCCAGGACGGAAAGGCAACCCCAGGGCATAGGGTGACTGCCCGCTGTCTCCATCTATCCCGTGTTCACCAGTCCCTGCTGGGGGTTGGAGTGGGGAGGGTGGATGCCCCTTGGATGCCTTAAGAGGCCCAAGCCCAGAGTCAGATGCACACTGGCATGAGACAGCTAACCCCCTGACGATGTGAGGAGCCTGTGACAACGGACATCCCACCGGCCCTGCCTGGTCCCTAGCAGGTTTGCAAAAGGAGAAGGCTGGGCACAAACAGAGGCTTAGGCCTCTCAGGTGCCAGTGGGGTCTCCGTCCGGCGAACCCTGGCTTTGCAGAAGCCCGGTGTACGAAACAGGTCTCGGGAGCAGTTTGAACCCCAATGGCACAGGCACCACCGAGTGCCTTTTGGTGCCAAAAGGCAGTTGTAGACCTTTAAGGAGGATGAGATTGGAAACTCCAGCTCTTGAGTGAGGCTGGAGATGGGCTGAATCCCCGCCAACCCCTACCCCTTGGTCGCTGAGACATCTGAGGGTCCTCACCAGTGACCCTTGAGTAGTGTGTGCAAACTCCGGGGAGCCAGGGGTCTGTCTCTCCCTGTCTCCGTCCCTGGGCCAGCTCTGAGGCAGGCCCTGCTCTTCTTGGCAACGTCACCGCACAGAGCTGCTCCCAGACTTGTGGTGACACCTCGCTGCGGAGAGGAGCGGTGGCCTCGGTCACAGCCAGGTCTCCTTCCGTGTCTCATGTCGCCTTGGTCTTTAGCTGCCAGCCCCGGGTCCCGCCTTGCCTGATGGCATCCTGGGCACCGGGCCTGTCCCATCCAACCGCTCCCAGTGTGTGCAATCACCCAAGGCCTGCTTAGCAAGTACTGGCACTGTTGGGGTCCGCCCTTCGTACAGTGCAGGGAGGATCAGAAACACCTCCCCGTCTTCAAAAGCTGCTGACGACCAGAGGAAGGCGAGGGGCTTCTATTTGGATGGCCAAGGTCAATGTGGTGTGTGTGGGGGCGGAGAGGAGAGGTAACCATGACCACGGGCCCGCTTGTCTACAGAGGACGCTGGGGTTTTCAGGTGAGTGCAGCAACAAGGAATGCGACTTTCTTCACCTGAAGACCCCTTCCGAGGCCCAGGACTGTCCTTCGTATGACCAGGGTTTCTGCAAAGACGGTGAGGCCTCGGCAGAGGGGGACGAGGGGGCCAGATGGGCCGTCTCCCGGCTGGGAGGTGGCATGTTGGGGTGAGGTCCACAGGAGGGTCAGAACTCCCTACTCCCAGCAGACGTCCTTTCCACAGCTCTCAGCCTGCTCCCAGGAGAGCCTGTCAGGGTGACGTGTGGGCTGGCGGGCTTCTTGGAGCAGGTGTGGGTGCAACCCCTATGGCTTCAGGGCTTGTCGGCTGCACAACCTTGAACGGCTTCCTCACTTACGGAAACAGAAGGCGCTCCATCCTAGGGTGGCCGGGCTGCTCCCATGGGGGGGCCCCCGGGGAGCCGAGCTTGTAGGGCACACACTTTACCCACCTGGGAGGAACCCTGTCACTTAAGCATGTTCTTCCTGCTCCACGACAGTCAGCTGCTGAGGGGCAGGGGCCACATCGGGTGCTTCAGGGCGGGGACAGGGCAGGAAGTCACACACCCGGGCCGAGGCCTGCTGTGCCACCCCTGGCCCGTGTTCCTCCTCTGCTAATGCAGATGCCGTTTCTCTCCGCCCGGCAGGTCCCCTGTGTAAATACCGCCACGTCAGGAGGGTCATGTGCACCAACTACTTAGGGGGCTTCTGCCCGCTGGGACCCGAGTGCCAGTATGCACAGTGAGTGTGATTCCCCCGAGTGCTGGGCCCACTCTCCGGGTTCCCATCCAGGCGGTGTGAGGTGCCTGGGAGCGTGTGCCTGATGCTTCCCGGGCATCGCTCCCTGGATGCTTCCCTGGCCACGCTGAGCTCTGCCGCGGGCTGTGCGTGCATGTTTGTGCCAGGCACGGGCACGTAGCTCTTCACAGACTGTTCTAGAAAGAAGGGCAGACTGCAGCCCTCCCTCCCCCCGCCCCCGGACAGGGTCTGGGCTCCTTCCTGGGCCCTCACACGGAACGGGCCTCACATTAGCGCAGGCCGTCGACGGGGAGCGGCCCGGCTGTAATGTCTCTCTCTGCTTCTTCAGTCCCAAGATGGTCCCTTTATCCAACCCAACGTCCCAAGGTGAGTGCGGGCGGGAAGGGCCGTGTGTCTCACGCCGGGCACTGCCCGTGTGCCCCGGGACCTCGGAGCCCCCAGCACTGCCTGCCCCACTGCCCTCACTCTCACGCCGTCTGCCATCTCCCCGTCCTGGGGAAGGCACACGCCTTTGCACGAGTGGCACATACGTGTGGCGGTTCCTCCCAGGCCCCTCCAAGCTCTGTCACCTCTGCTTCAGGTGGGACTGCCCAGCTCTCAGCCCACACACACCTCCCCCTCCCCTTCACTCCTCACACAGGCGTGGTGGCGTTCAAGAACTTGTGGCCCAGTCACTGTGAATTGAGCCCTGGGGAGGTCCCTGTGGGAACGGAACTCCCTACGGCCACCAGGTGCCGATGAGGGTCACAGGAGGGTCAGTAAACCTTGGCCAGCGGACCACGGCTGCCTGGTCCCAGGAATGATTGCTGCTGAGCTCCCGTTCACTAGCTGGCCCGGCTGGATGGCAATGGGGCGGGAGGAGGACGCCCCCTGCTGGTTCTGAGTGGCATCTCCCCTAGCCTAGAAGGTGGGTTAGTCATAAGCCCATTTCTAACTCTGGTCAAATGTTGTTTTCAGCAATGAGAAAGGTAAATGAAGGCATTTCAAAGCCTGGCTTCTGCCTGAACGCCTGGCCAGGGCCCCGGACTCGGTGAGAAGGGGCTGCGTCTGCACAGAGGATCGTCTGTGGGAGCTCCTTGTGCCTCCCGCGTCCCCTGTATCTGCAGCTCACCTGGCCCTGGGGCTCAGCACCTCCTGCTTCTACCTGGCCACCTCGAAAGCTCCTTTCCCGATGGGGTGCCTGCCTCTCCTCCTTCCGATGTCACCCCAGGAGCAGCTGCCCTCCTCCTGCCTGGGGGTCAGGGCGCAGGAGCTGGGCCTTCAGCAGGATGAGGGGTTAGGGGTTCGGGCTGTTTTCTGTCCATGGCTGGAGGGCGGGTGATTAGCTGCACAGAGACTCCTCTCCTGCCACAGATAAGAAACCCGCTCCTGGGCGAGGGAGTGGGCGTGAAGGGAGGGGGCCTACTGGTACACCAAATGTACCACAGGAATGTGGAAACTGCCCAATCTTATGCTTGCCGCCAGACACGTTTCTTTAACAGGCTAGTCAGGCCCGGACTGGTTTGTCTCAGTGGACAGAATGTTGGCCCGTGGATTGAAGGGTCCCGGGTTTGATTTCAGCCAAGGGCATGTACTTCGGTTGCAGGCTCGATCCCAGTAGGGCCATGCGGAAAGCAGCAGTTTCTCTCTCATTGGTTTCTATCTCTGTATTCCTCTCCCTTCCTCTCTGTAAAAATCAATACAAAATATATATATATATATATAAAAGGGCTAGTAAGTTTCCAGTTTTATTTTGTGGCCTACGAATTCTCTGGGGTTTTTTTATTTGTTTTGTTTTTGCTGTCCTTGCTGAACTCTGACCTCTCTGTTCTGCCAGGGTGAGAGGTAAGGGCAAACCCTCGTCTTCCTTGCACATATACACACCAAATACAGACTTTATATAAAAAAGGATAAATGACATCAGCCTTTATGAACAAATAAACTGACTTTTCCCAGTAACTTTCAGTGACTTTTGAGAGCAAGCCAAAGAAATATCCAGACAGAACCAGATCTGTTCACATGTAAAAAGACATACTCCTAAATGACTGCTTTCCATTCAATAATTTATTCTTTCCTTCCCTCTTATGTCCCGACACAACTTGAACTTGTGAACCGTGCCCTGCAGTCGTCTCCAGAGTCCTCTCCAGCGCACTCTCCGTGGCGCTTGGGTCAGCGTTGCTTCCGCCAGCCAAGCTCTTTGGATAAAGAGATAAATGTAAGGATCTGGGAGGCCACTTGAATTGACTCTTTATCTCACATCTCTACAGATCATGCTGTTAAGCCGAGATGATTGGAAATTCTACTGGCTATTAGTGTTAATGGTTACCTTGTACTTTCACACCAAAAGTTTCCATCTGAAAATGATGGGTCTCTTCTGTTTTTAATTGTGGAAAAATACTGGGCTCTTTCCATGTTTTTTTTTTTTTTTTAACTTTTAACTATAAACATATGTTTTAATAAAATAATACTACATTAAAAAATGAGCAAAAGCCATCTTAAGCTGAAAGAGAAATGAACCATGCATTTCCTCCTGGTAAGATTTGGCACAAGCAGAAGTGCCTATCCAGCGGGAAGTGCCTGCGACAGCTACAAGCTGGTGACTGACAGCTGTATCCTGTTTCTCCTTCTCTCTTTTGGGGCAGAAAGCTAGGTTTCATCCTAAAAAGTGCTCAGGTAGGGAATAAAAAGGCACCCCTGAGACGAGCCCCATCTTCCAGGAGGCAAACAGATCTCCATGACAACCTTAACTGAGCACAAAAGCAATTATGTAAATCTAGTCAAGTCTTACAAAGGCCACTGTAACCCAAGCTGCTCTTGCGCTCGCGTGCTCCCGTGCGTGCGCTCGCTCGCTCGCTCGCGCTCTCTCTCTCTCTCTCTCTCTCTGTAACCCAAAGCTCTTAATAAAAAGAACCTCAGGGCCTCAGGCACTACCTCATTCACCAGGGCATCAGATAGTGCCAGGCTGTAATGCTATAAAAAGCAGCCAGAGGATCCCTTGGAGGTGCCCGGAATGGGATGTGACCCGTAATTGAGGCTAAAAATATAGAAAGGCTTACTCAGATGCTTGAAGCTCCAGCTACAACAAAGAAGGAAGTATCCAGTGAAGAGCATCGTGACGCCACCAACTCCACTCTTCACGGTGGTGCTGCACTTGATCCAGCCTGTTAAGAGAGAAACGGTGATGCCGGGACCTGTGACTGAGGTTTACCTGCGAGCTCTCCGTTAGCTGGGGCCATGGAACCGTAACTCAGAGAATTTACACAGCACTGGGTATATGTGTAAACAGATGAAAAGGCTAAAGTCTAGAAGACCTCAGTTTTAAAAAATTTTCACTCTTCTGGGATTTTGGTTAAAATCCTTACCGAGGAGGAGACTAATACCACTGATTGGTTAACCTAAGGCTTAGAGTCCTCCTGGCTTGGGGACGATCAATGTGGGCGAGGGAGACATGGTGCAGGTGGCAGAGAGGCGGGGTAGGCATTGAAAACCGAAAGCTGTTCCATAAATGGCAGCTACTACTTTATTAACTCTGGTGCTTTTGCTGACGTCAGACTCCAGGATGAGAGCAAACGGAGGAGCAGGAAGAAGGCACATTTTCGTTAGCCGCGTGTTAAGTAACAGTCACAGCTAAAGAAAGGAGAGTCTCCCAAAGCTTGGAACCAGCAACAGAACCCAACAAGCGATGACCGCGCCTCACCTTTGTGTACAGCTCCCAAGAGCCGCATTAGAGCGACGTTGGAGGTGGTAAGCCTGGCCGGGGGTTCCCAACTCCACAGAGCAGTCGAACTTCTTTCCAACAAAGGAACTGCAGTCCCAAACAGAAGTCACAGTGATAGTTCATCCGAATTCACCCTCTTCCCCAGCACTCTACCCACGGTTCCAGGGCTAGGCCTCCGGAAACGCGTATCCTAGAGGTGCCTGTGGCTGCAGCCACGCTAAGTGCTCCAAGTCAAAGCAGCCCCCGCAGGTCAGAAAAGGGCCCCCTTCTGATCTGATGAATATTCTGCCCAGATGACCTATGTGTATGTGCTGAATGAAATAAATCTCTCTTATTTTCCATCATCTGCTAAAACATGTGAGCAAAAACCATGATTGTTTACACTCAGATTAACTACAGCTACTTGTCACTGTATCTGCAGTCAACAGGTCTGTTCCAGCAGCCCATCGCTACTGCTGACAGCAAATGTTTCTTATGTATGTTCAGTACACGGCTAACTAAAGGAGAACGGCAAGGAGGGTTTACACTATGCATTTATATTTTTCCTGTTCCTGTGTTTCACTTTTAATGACAGACAGGGAATCTCTTTTATGGTTGGTTCTCTGGTCTTGGTTTGGTTCATCAGGATAAAGGACAATGCAAGCAAATATTTATGACCAATTTAGCAGGCATGGCAAAAGGTGATGTGGATGTAAAAATACTACCTAAATGGTCATCTATATATATAAAGGCTAATATGTTTATAAGTGTCCAACCATCCGGGTAATGATGTCACATAGCAACCCCAGCTTCCTCTCCCTAATGACTAGCCTCCTTACAGTTTCTTCAGCCCAGGAACACGACTTGCTTATAGCATTTTAACCACTTTACCCTGTAACCAAATGTCTGTGAAGCGTTTTCCCGGGCTTCATCTCATTTGATCCTTACAGAAGTCCTAGAGTAGGTAGATAGGAGACTTGGTGGAATCCTATTTTCTTTTCATTAGCTGGAAAAGGGAGATTTAAAAAGCTTAGAAACTTGACCCAACTGAATAGAAGTAAGAAATGGTGGACCTTGAAAATGACTTCAGGTTTTCTCACTGCACAAAATATAGTCAAACATTGCTGCAGTTAAATATTTTACCCTTTGTTTTCCCTGCATGATCTACAATAATGTTCTGATTGGTGTTGATATTTATTGCTGTGTTGCTGACAATTACCTGAAAGAGAATGGGATGCTTCACTAGGCTAGAAAAAGTTTAGCTAAATCAGAAAGCAGGACTAATTAAGCAAGTTTATTTTATATATATA